AAAGATGTCCTTATTTTGAAATATAGGAATTAGAGTCATGTCCTCAGGTTATGAATTCTTTTTTTAGAATTATCTATTATATTTAACTCTGGTGACCCTAGCGGGTTGGGAATTGCGCTGCTTACCCAAATGAAGCACTTCTCTGGCAGTTAGAATCTACCAGTACTTCCATGGCAGAAAGATGAGAAAATTCTTCCCGTGATATTTACAACTTCTGAAAACCTGATGGAGGGTCCAGCTATGAGTTGGTTCCAACTCAAGAGCAATGACAGAAAGATTTTATCTAAAGGAGTCATTGAGAGGTACAAACAGTTAAAGTCCTCAGCTTTTAACCAAACAACTGGAGTTCTATATTTACCCAGAGCCATTTAGGAAGAAAGACGTGGCAGTCTATATCCTAGAGATCAGTTATTGACCATCTTGTGGAACAGGGTTCTACTCTGAAGCAAGTGGCATCTCTCTGAACACAATCAACTCAACGGTAATTTGTTTTATTGTTTCTAAAGTGATATTTACTATTTAGATTAGAAAATTGGTTTTTGTTCGTTCTTAATTAATTATGTCAGTCACATTATCCTATTGCTACTAAGTTGATTCCAGCTAATAGCTCACCCTCCAGGACATAGTAGAACTGTCCCATAGAATTTTAAGGCTATAAAGCTTTATGAAAGCCAGTGACCACATCTTTCTCTCATGGAACAAGCAGTACATCAGTCCAAATCACCAGTTCTTGGTTATCATTTAACAACTATGCCACTAGGACAACATTTGGGAAGATTATTTTATAATGTGGATTATATCTTACTAATAAATATTTATTAGAGTATAATTTAAAAAATAGGATAAAACTTAAATTTATTCCACTAGTGTAATTACCTAAAATTCAAGTACTACTAATTGTTATTGTTGTTGTTAGATGCCGAGTCAAGTATGGCCCATAGTGACTAGATGAATGAACAACAGATCTGAACCCTTTCCTATTCTGGGCCATCCTCTCACTTCCTGACAGAGTAGGTCCCATTGCAGCAGTCACCATGTCAATCCAACTGGTCAAAGGTCTTCCTCTCCTTTGCCAACCTTACCTTTCGAAACATCATGTCTCTCCAAAGAATAGTCCCTCCTAGCAACATGCCCAGAATATGTGAGGTGAAGCCCCATCATCTTTGCCTCCAAAGAGCATTCTGGCTGCACCTTTTCCAAGACATATTTGTTCTTTTGGCAGTCTTTGGGATGTTCAGTGCTCTTCTCCAACACCACAGTTCAAAGAATCAATTCTTCTTCTATGATCCTTATTCATTGTCCAGCTCTCAGTAAGTGGTTGGAAAGACCATGGCTTGAATCAGATGCATCTTAGTCCTCAAACTGACATCATTATTCCTCATTATTTTAGTTCCCTAATCACACACTTTCCCAGTGCAATATATCTCTGATTTCCTGAATGCTGGTACAAATGGTGTTAACTATGGATCCGAGTAAGATGTAGTTGTTGACAGAGTCAATCTTTTCTCTATCATGATGCTGCCTATTGGTCCAGTGGTAAGAATCGTTGTACTCTTGACATTGAAATTCAATCAATATTGAAGCCTGTATTCTTTGATCCTCTGCAACAAGTGCTTCAAGTCCTCCTCACTTTCAGCAAACAAAGTTGTGTCTTCTACACAACTCAGGTTATTGGTGAGTGTCCTTCTGATCCTGATGCCACATTCTTCTTCATAGAATACAGCTTCTCAAATAATTTGCTCAGCATACTGATTAAATAGTATGGAAAAAAGACTACAACCCTGACATACTCCCTTCCTAATTTTAAACCATGTAGTGTTCCCCTGCTCTCTTCACACAACAGCCTCCTGGTCTGAGTATAGGTTTGACGTGAGTACAATTATGTGCTCTGGGATACCCATTCTTCTCAATGTTAGCCGTAACTTGTTATGATCTATACAGTTAAATGTCTTTGCATAGACAAAAAAGCATAAATATACATTCTTTTGGTATTTTTTACTCTCAGCCAGGATCAATCTGACATCAGCGATCATGTCCCCGGTGTCATGGCCTTTACTATATCCTGATTGAACTTCTGGAAATTCCCTATCTATGTACTGTTCTAGCTGATTTTGAATGATCTTCAGCAGTATTTTGCTTGCATGTGGTATTAATGATATTGTTTGATAGAATTCCACCTTTCTTGGGGATGGGAACAAATATGGACTTCTTTCAATTAGTTGGCCAGACAACTGTCCTCCAAATTTCCTACTATAGACTAGTGGGCACATCCAGGGCTTCATCTGTTAATTGAAACAAGTCTATTGACATCCCATTGATTCGTAGGTCCCAAGTTTTTGCCAATGCCTTCAATGCAGCTTCTACTTCCTCCAGTATTACCATTGACTCCTACTCATATGTTACTTCCTGAAATTTTTCAATATCAGTTAGTCCTTTTTGGTACAGTGATTCTGTGCATTCTCTCCATCTTCTTTTGTTGCTTCCTGGGTCATCCCATGACAACTTTCAATATTGCAACTCGAGGCTTAAATTTGCTTTCAGTTCTCTCAGCTTGGGAAATGCAGAACGAGTTCTTCCCTTTTTATTCTCCAATACCAACTCTCTGTGCATTCCCTTATAATACTTTGCTTTGTCTTCTGAAGCTGCCCTTTGAAATCTTCTGTTCAACTCTACTTCAGCAAGTTTTCCCTTTGTTCTGGTTTCCTAATGCTCTAGTGCAGTTTTTTTAGAGTCTCTTCTGACATCTATTTCCATTTTTTCTTTGTCCTCTGTCTTTGTAATGACCTTTGCTTTCTTTATGGATGATATCTGCAGCTCAGATGTCTGCAGCAATAACTTGAGGTTATAAGCCTGCTCTTACCATAAAGGTAAGAAATTTAGTTTGTGGTACAAGCTTCTCTGGAAATATTTTTAAAGGCAGCTAATTAAGCATGAAACCAAACATACTGGAATTTGAAAGCTTTTGGTTTTGTTTTTATAGGGAATAAGGAGAGAGGAAGTAGTTGGTTTTAAGCATAAAATGTACCCATGAATATTGGCAAAGATTGCTCATTCCCCATAGATGAGATACCATCTGGCAAGGCAATACACCCAGGAAAGCAGCACAGGACAGGAGCACTGTGGAAAGTTGAGACAATGCCACAATCCACAAATGCTAATTCTTTGAAGGGAAAATATCAAAATCAATGAATATACGGCTTTGGATTTTTCTACATCCAGAGATAAAAGCCAATTAAAATATTGATGCACAAAACCAGAATGACCTGTTCTTCAAAGAATGCACATCATCTTTGGCAAACTGACCAAGTGTCAAAGTTTAGCTTATCTTTACTAAATGTTTCTTTCCCTCAGTATTTCTGTTTGTAGAGGTCAAACAGCCCATCTCTGAAGACACTGGAGTGGACTCAACCCACTCCAGTGTAAACAGATTGAAAAATAAGAAAACCAGGTAAAGAGTAAGACTTGAGGACACCTCCAAATGACAACTGCCTTACAGCAGCTTGGTTCTGAAACTCAAGCATTAACTGTAGAACCATTTACTGCATCCAAACCAGCAACATCCATATAGTCCCCTAAACATCAAAACTGTGCTAACATATATGGTACTGCTGGAGAAATACTCCAAAATATTCTCTTTAAAGGCAATGAAAAGTGCTCTGTGGAAAAAAATAAATATTAATTAGAACCTCTAGCAGACATCAATTTACAAATTATCATCTAAAATATTTTGAAGGGCCACAAATGCTGCAGAGTTGTTGTGGGTTCTAATCTCATCATATTCAAGCTTTTCTCTTGTGACATTTATGACAATATTCACACTTCATTTTTTACTGGTATGATTTATGTTCCTAATATAGGGATACATGCTACATAATAAGGTAAAATTATGGAACTCCAAATTTGTTTATATCAAATGTTGTTGCTCTTGTTGTTGTTAGGTGTTGTCTAGTCGAGTACAACTCATAACATCCCTATGAACAAAACAGCTGAACCCTGCTCTATCCTGTGCCATCCTCACGTTTCCTGACACACAAGAGCACACCGAGGTAGTCACCACATCAATCCACCTGGTCAAGAGTCTTTCTCTCCTTCAACAACCTTATTTATATAGAATCCTTATTTATATCAAATAAGGACTCTATTTCCCAAAGGAATACTGTGAGACTCACAGCAGTATATGTATATCTGGTCCACACACTGTATTCTGTCACCACCAACAGACACTCCACCCACTCCCACTCCCACTGCTCAGACACATACACACAGTGCATACACGCTCACACTGGACTATTCTAAATATTTAAAGCCACAGGATCCTTTCCTGGAGTGATAATTTTACTTAAAGAACCTAAAAGTCAACATATATTACTATAGAAGGGAAGATACGAATGTATAAGTACAAAATAAGAATGAAAATTTGGAATTAAGGTAAAATTTTCCAGATATTCCTACCCTCATCAGCATTGTGCCAAGTGCTTCGAGTTGGATAAACACACACATCCTCTGGGCTGGAGATCTTATATGAGGGCTCATGAGAGGGTGAGGGGAGTGGATGCTAAACACCATCCCACTTACACAACCATCAAACCAGTCCTAGTGACGCTGCTTTTCACTTCTGCCATCAGAGGGAGCTACTTTACTGTTGTTCTTTGGGAAGTTGTGAAGGTGTCTGTCTCATTATATTCACAGAAGTATTAGAAGATGAAGTAAACCCCCAATCTCTCAGGAAAAGAGAAATGGTATGTGTAAAAATAGAAAGCTAAAATGGTGTAGAAAATTGCAGTCTCAGGATCACAGGCAATTGGGGATAATAATGCTTGAAAATGCCACAGAGAAAATGAAGGACGCTAATGTTTATACATTCTTTCAAATGACAGATATGTTTCATCTGGAAAGTATGCTTCTCATATATCAGCGTGCTGTCAAAAGTTATTCTTAGAAATCTGTGCTTTTTAGTTGTGGATCCTAATGACAGCTTTATCTGTGTTATAATTTCTTAGGCCCTGGCCGCGTACCTTTACCACCTAGACCTACACCACAACAAAGGAAACCTTTACCACGAAATAATGTCACTGGAAAGCCAGGAAGCACAGGTACGGCCTTCAACACCTTTCACCTCCCTCCTTAGTTCCAGTTGTACTAGCCAACCATAGTTCTTGTTGGTATAATAATTTAGGATGGGTCAGAGGGGCACATTGAACATGTGATGTAGTCTCTGCATACCAAAAAAGAAAAAGAAAAACAGACCAACATACAAAATAATCCCCAAAATACAATGCATTGCCAATTTTTACTCTTAGCAATCCTATGAAACTGAGAGCTACCCCCAGTAAAATTGTGCAGCCTGGAAATCTTTAGGCAGCTCTGATAACACAGTCTATAGGTAGTAACATTGCTAACTCAAAGGCCATTTTTTCCACTAGTGGTTGGAATCCACCAGTTGCTCCAAGGGAGAAAGATGAGCCATCTCCTCTTGTGCTATTTACAGCAGCAGAAGTCCAAAAGAGGGCCAACTATAAGGCCATTCTGACTCGATGGCAGTGATTGACTGATGTGATACTTTACAGAAGAAAACTCTCATCTTTATCCCACTGAACTCCTGCCTGATTCAAACTGTCAGCTTTTCCATTAGCAGTTTGATGTTTAACACACTGCACTACCTGGGTTCCTTTCCCTAAGGGCCAGACGCTAAATTACTGTTTGCAGGACTCATAGCCTGACTCTGGGTGGCTGGGGTGAAAGAAGCCATCCCTCTGCATCTGGGCAAAATGTTTATGTGCTTGGAGCCTAGACAGAAAGAAGCTGACTCAGGCACTTCAACAGCAAGTAGATCATGTTAGATGCTGTATTGTTGCCAAACACTGGGGATGATGGAAAATGTGATTCCTTGTCATCAGCTTATGGGTCTGTCTCCTGAAATGAAATCCTATACAGCTCATGGAAAGCTCCCCTGTCCACCAACCTGCATGCTGGCCCCATCTTATGTTGCTTGGGAGAAGGTTAGGACTGGAATATTCAGGGTGACTGAGCAGGTCTAGTCAGTGCAACACGGCAGAGGCAGGTAGGAATAGAAGTTAAGGAGTAATAGAAATAGAAATTACCTCCAAAATAAAAGAGTAGAAGTTAAGCTTCTTCTCACCTCCATGCCTCCTGCTCATGGAATGACCCCTCTCAGTCACTGGGACACTTATTCTTCATCTCTTTCTTGAAGAAGCCCTCTCAAATGCTCCCAGATTTACATTTCTTCTTGTTCTCTGTATTCAGGAAAGCATATGAATTGTTTGCATACTTATCACTTGCTAGTAGACTGTTAGCTCTGTGATGACAGAATTCTTGCTATATTTTCTCTGAATACCAAGAACCAAACCCAGTGTTTATTACATTTAAAAAATAATAAACAAACAAAAAAGTTGCCATCAAATCAATTCTATTTATGGTGACCTCACATGTGCTGAGCAGAAACGCTTTCAGCATTTTCAAAACTGTTACCTTTTGAGGCAATTAGCCAAGCTTGTCTTCTGAGGCCCCAGTAGGTAGGCTCAAACTACCAACCATTCAGTGACTAGTTGACTCCTTAACCACTTATACCACCTAGAAAACCCATGCCGAGCACAAAGTGAATATGTGATAATAAGTAACTGAGTGAATAAATGAATGAAATTAAGTATCAGTGATAACAGATCCATTCTAGAGCAAAGCTTCTATTAAGTCTTCCTACTAGGACTTGCCTAAGGAGCTCTTATGGCTCAGTGGCTCAGGAATTGTGGTGTCAACCCAAAGGCAGGTAGTTCAAATCCACCCACTGATCTGTAGGAGAAAAATGGACACTCTCTTCACATATACTTTCTCCCCTCTGAGAAATCAACTGGAGGGTGAGCTGTGCATTCCAACTCCATAGTAATGACTTTGGCCTTTTATTTTTTTTTTTACCAAGACGTGCTAGAAATCACATGCTCCCCAATTTTTCTCCCTTTCCTCCTACCTCTACTTCCTAGATATTTTGTATGTAGCATCAGTAAGCTGTGAGAATCAGATTGATTAAATTATATAAGTTGATTAAAATATAAATAAAAATTGAATTTTTATGAAGCTGTTAGAATCAGTAAGATTAAATTGATGGGGTTTTATATGAAATGTATCATCATTCTACTCAGGGTGGGAGGAGAGAGTATGGAGAAGGTGAAGCTTTTATATTATGTGCATAATGAATTCTAGATTGTTCATCACATTATTCCAAAGAGACACACTTATCCGGCTGCTGGTGCCCTCCCAAACACGGCCACCTCATGTGGGCATGCTCTCTAATGGGGTCAGTGACTGATTTTCTAGAAATAGATCGCTAAGCCTTTAGTCTGAATCTCCTCTGCGTAGATTCAAACCTCTCACCTTCAGGTGTGCCCCTACAGGGTTATGGGGTTTCTAGGTTAACTTAAAGCTAAGGCAGTTCTGATAGTCATAGCCTCCAGTGAAACTGGATGGGTCACAGACTGAAAATTAAGCCTCTCCTCCATGGGGAAAATCAGGGACTTCACCGCATGGCTCCCCTGTAAGGCTGCCACTTTAGCTGCACCTGGCTTGCCTTGGTTCCTGTCATATAAAACCAGAAGTTTTCACAGGTAAAACTGAAACAGTGAAGAGTCTAACCTAGAATTCTTTTTAAATGTTTTCTCTATATTTCTTCTCATACTCTGTATGACATAATTTTTAAATAAATTTGTTTTTCTTTAAAAATAACAAAACAACCCAGGAGTTGTTGGAGTTTGGGGTTTGTTTTGTTTTGCTTTGGTTTTCTTTTTTAAATTTTATTTTTATTATTATTCATTTTAATGAAAGTTTACAGACCCGTTGGATTTCCATTCATTCATTGTTGCACTTTTCTCCCTGCCCACCCCTCCCCCTGAGTTCGTTCTTCTCTTTGAAAAAGTAAAAGAAAAATGAGTTGTTTTTATAGAGGTTAATACTGGGCTCCCATATCCTTGCTAAAACTATTATTAACTCAATGGAAATGGCTATATTGAGAGCGCTCTAAACAGCAAATAAAAACAGTTGTGCAGATTGAGCCTGATTAACATCACACATAGTTCATCACAGGAGACTAGAGCGAGGGCTACATGGTGGAGGGGACCTGGGGGAGGGTTTGTAAAACAATGAAAGAATCTTTTCTTTTACTTTTCCATAATTTTGGACTCATGTACTTATAACTTGTTAGTCAAATTTGTGTCTTCTAGGTTGCAACACCCCCATGATACATCTTCAAGGATATGAACATGTACGGCCAAGCACAATCAATAAGAGTGCATCTAAATCCCAAAATCAATCTCCATAATAGTCTATGTGTTTCCTACTGCCAAAGGGGCCCTTTAGAGTAGTGAGAGAAGATCTTCAGCCTGAAACCCACAGCGTCCCTTTTCAGCAGGAAGTAGCTAAGAGAATACGCCATCCCCTTTTCCTTATGACTCAGGGTGAAGTCTCTCTCAGGGAGGAGTGATAGGGAATGGCAAAGGACACACTGACAAAGAAGATTAATCAGAACTGGCTTTGACAAGCACTGTGGCATTTGGACAAGAACAAACTGGGAGGAGGGTAGAGAGAATAGTGCAACGAGGAATGAATGGAAACCCAAAATCTCTGTAAATGTTTATGAAAATTAATAAAATATAGGAAAAAAAACATCACACATAGTGCACCCTGAACCCCAGAAACCTACTCAATGTTTCTAGAATCCTCTCAGGCTCTCTCCCTTGCACCCATAAATGCAGCCTTAGGCAGCTGTGAGGATTTGCCTCTGTTGTCCCATCTCCAGTCTACTGAGGCCTCCCAGTCCTATAGCCCTCACCCATGAAGGAAATGCATTTCCTCCTGACTTTAACAGCTCTGTAAAGTTCATGCTGTTTGCAGTACAAATTCTCTTGCATTTTATTTGCTCTCTTATTGTAGCCCACTCCCAAGAATTGAGATTCAACTCCATGAATTCCAGGGGATGAACCAGGGGCCTACCCGAGTGATTTTGTCTGGGATTCTATGTTGGACATTGTATGTTACATTCTTTGACTCTCTTGCTTATTTGAAAATGACTCCATTTTTGAGAAGGAATATCCTCAACCCTCCAAAAGGGAGCGCTGGTGACTTATTAGTAAGCCTTAGTGTCAACCATAAATCATGTTGTTCAAACCTACCAGTAGCTCCATGGAAGAAAGACAGGCAATCTCCTCTTATGCAATGCATTGTCTATGAAAATCCACTGGGCAGGCAGCTATAAGTCAGTTCTGATTTAATGACTCAGAGACTTCTAAACTCAAGAGAGACTGACTAGCCGCAGCATAAGAGATTGGCAGCAGTGCAAGACATTTGGTCTCAAGAAGTACAGAAGGCTTGAGAGCTACACCATCATATCAAGGGCTTGATAGAGGGAGGTGTTGAATGGGGTAGGTGGGAATGGAAGGGGATGTGGGTGGAACAAGGAAAGGGATGGGTCAAGACACACATGCCAAGGGCAGGGAGCAACACTAAATCTATTGGTTGCTTCTATAATTGGGAAGTGATAGTATACAACAACAAACAATTACTTTCAATACCCAGATATGTCTGAATTACAGATTCTGTTTTAGAAACCTATTGTTGTTGTTGTTGTTGTTATGTACCACCAAGTCGCTTGTGACTCATAGCGACCCTATGTACAACAGCCCTATACTCTGCTCTGTCCTGTGCCAATCGCACTGTCTCTGACACTCCCATCCCGATTATCCCAGTCACTGAATCAATCCACCTCATAGAGGGCCTTCCTCTCCTGCGCTGTCCCTCTACCCTCCCAAGCATGATGTCCCTCTCCAGGGACCGGTCTCTCCTCACAACATGTCCAAATTATGTTAGACGGAGCCTCAGAATCCTTACCTCCATTTTTCTTTTTTATTGTTCTAAATATCATCCTTAGCATCAAGGCTGGCAAAGCTTGGTCTCACATACTTGGGGCACTTTGCTAGGAGAGGCTATTTCTTGGACAAGGACATCAGGCTTGGAAAGGTAAAGGGTCAGAGAAGGAGAGGAAGACCTTCAACAAGATAGATTGACACAGTAACAATAGCAATTGGCTCAAGTATGTCAGAGAAGATGAGGATGGTACAGAATAGGACAGGGCTCAGATCTATTGTTCTTAGGGGCTCTCTAAGTAATATTTGACATAATGGCATATAACAACAGCATATTGTTATAGGAACCCTGGTGACTTGGTGGTTAAGTATTCAGCTGCCAACAGAAAGGTCATTGGTTTGAGCTCACAAGCTTCTTTGTGGGAAAAAATGTGACAGTCTGTGTACATAAGGATTTAAAGGCTTGGAAACCCTTTGGGGAATTGCAACTATTCTTACAGGGTCACCACTTAATGGTTGTGGACTTGATGCCAATCAGTTTTTACACAAGTTTTTACAAGAGTAGAGAAAGCATACTTGAAGACAGCACCTTTTTGGCCATGAGGTCAGAATCATGGTGATTGCCTTAAGAATCTTCCCTCTTAGGGAGCTCTGGTGGCCTAGTGGCAAGAAGCTGTACTGCAATCCCAGAGGTACACGGTTCCAATCCACCTGATGTTCTGCCAGAGAAGGAGGGACTTAAGACTTCTCCAAGCCAGACCCTTCCATCTCCTTGAATATTTCTCATATTTAATCCCTTTCATCCAGTCCAACAACTTCTGCTGTCACACAGCACACCCCCACCCTGTTCTTGCTGTCAAGGTGACTCTGACTCATGTCATTATCATAAGTATCAGAGTAGGACTCTGCCCCCTAATGCTTTTCACAAATAGATAAACAAGGCTTTCTTGCAAGGCACCTTTGAGTGAACTTGAACTTCCAACTTGTTTATGAGTTGAGTGCATTAACCATTGCACCACATACAATTGCCTTAGTCTTCTGCTACCAGCCTTACAAACTTAAAATTAATCCTCTTCCCATCTGATTATCTTACTTCCCTAGTTACAACCTTTCATTGGGTTCTCATTGACAAAAATAATGTCTAAATCCATGGCATAGTATGCAAATGATCTGCCTCACCCCTATCAGTTTTCATTGTCCCAGTCCCTTCAAATAGTTTTTGGATCTCCTAAATTCATCAAAGTCTTCCCTGACTCCCTGCCTTGGTTCTTGCTACATCATCTTTTTTTTTTTTTTTCAATTTTATTAATTTTAATGAATGTTTACAGAGATTTTGGGTTTCCATTCATTCATTGTTGCATCTTTCTCCCTGCCCACCCCACCCCACCCCTAGTTCGCTCTTTGAAAAGTAAAAGTTCTTTCATTGGTATACAATCCCTCCCCTCTCCCCACTTGAGTACACACCACAATGCAACCTTCATTCTTCTTAATGAAAAATAGCTTTCATGCCAAACCACTGATCTCTTTGCCTGTTTATGGACACACCTTCTGTGAAGACATTTTTACTTCTCTCTCCAACACCCTCCATGTTTCCCCAGATCACTCCCTTCCTGTCTCCTCCCTATGACCTCATTCAGTTCTTTCACAATATCTATTTCCATATTCTTGTTTCACACACCAGTCTCCATCAAGGACCAGATACAATTTTTCTCTTCAGGTTACATGGTACTATTATCAGATGCTGTCAAGCCTGTTCCAACTCATGTTGACCCTATGTACAATGTACAAATGAGGAACACTGCCCCGGCCTGTCCTATCCCCTGTGGACACAATTGCTGCCGTGCTTGAGGACAATGTGGCAGGCGCTTTGTAAATTTTTCTCCTTAAGGGTATAATTAGTGCATGAATAAAGAAATAGAAAATGTAGCAGTACCACGATAGACTTGAACACTTTGGCTCTACGTTACAGGAATCATTTCATCAGGCCGAGTCACTTCCACACCTTTGAGGGCAACACCTGGACCTACTAGGACCCCCTTGGTGAGAGCAGAGATAGATAAGAAGCAACCCACAGCTCCTGCCTCTGGAGAAGAATTTGGTGTGTATGCCAGCCGGTTCTCATCGAGTGTTTGGTTACAAGGAATAAAGATTCAAATAAGGGGTGAGGGGAGGGAGTTGAAAGGCTGGATTTATTGTTTTATGATGAATATGGATAGTATTAAATTAAAAAGTATATTTCTCTTTAATGCTTTGTTGTAAATTATGTTCCTTTCCCTTAGCATTCATATAATAAAGGGCCCAAGTTTGGTTTCTAGAAATATCTTGCTTATCCCATAATTAGGGAACTCTGGTCCACAGGGAGTTGCACTGCCAACCTAAAAGAAGCATTCTGGTGGTTCGAAACCACTGGTGACTCCAAGGGAGAAAGTTGGGCAATCTTCTCCTGTGCAGTTTACAACTTCTGAAAATCTGATGGAGGATCAGTTCTGACTTGATGGCACAAAAGAACAACATGCGTACTACTAAGTTACTCAGCAGTACTAATTACTTTGTTGTTGTTGTTGTTGTTGTTGTTGTGTGCTGTTTAGTCAGAACAGACTCATATTTGACTTTCTAGTGAATTTTCAGAAACTGTAAAATCTCTAGGGAAAAGACTGCTCATTTTTCTCCTAAGGAGAACCTGGTGAATTTGAACTGCCTAACTCTGGGTTGGCAGTGTAATTCCTTACCCACCAGGTCACTAGAGATCCCCTTGATTACTGTACATATCTTAATTTATTAATGAACATTAACCAGTTAGTGATAATCTTTAATTATTTGTTATACTCCAAAATACTGCAGCAGGATGTAACTAAAGTCCTTTTCTATGCACTGATGTATGTGATAATAATAATAAAGGAAATAAAAATCTGCAAGCATTTGACTAGAAGACGGAAATGGTTACTTACAGTTTTCACTACTTTTTTACTGTATTGTGAAACTGTCTACTCCTTTTGCCAAAAAGTTTTATTATCATTCATTCTCAGGTAACACAACTGACTTTAGCTCAAGCCCAACCAGAGAAACTGATCCTTCTGGGAAGCCCAGATTCACAGGTATGTATAATTAGTTCCAAATCACAATTTTCACAGGGATGTCAGTAGTGGGTGTATTACTCAGCTATTGCTATATAATAAATGGTAAAATCGTACACCAAGTTTCTAAGAAACTCACTAAGTATATATTTCTTGTAGGTCTGTCAGCTACCTTAGAATATGCTTGGTTGGGTGGTTTGGTCTCCAGTACTATGCACAACTTATCCTCTAGTAAACTGGACTCAGATTTGCTCCATAGTTGTTTGTCTGGGGCCCAGGTTGAAACAATAATAACCCCAAGAGAAGGTACTTCCAGGGCATGTAAATATACATCCACACTGTAAGCTCCTTGTTGTGTTGTGTCTGTCAGTATCCATTGCCCAAAGACTGTCACATAGTCAAAACTCAAACTCCAGGATTGAGGAAGTCTACTCTGTCCATGAATTGACTCAGTGATGAGGGTAATAGGGGTAGGTATGTCGGAGACAATAAGATTGGAAAGGAATAGAGCAGGGTTTAGGACTGTTGTACGTAGGGTTACTATGAGTTGCAAGTGACTCGACAGCACATAACAACAACAACAACAACAACTCTTTCCATCAATGTGGAGAAGATGTTTTGAACAATAATCTATCATAGAAGAGAAATGATATGACATAGTATTCTCCTTTGTGATTTTTTTTGTAAAGTGTGCAATTTTATAAACACCCATAAAACCCATAATCAAATCAGGATAATGAACCTATCAATCACCTCCAAAAGTTCCAGCATGTTCCTTTGTAATAACAACCTCTTACTCCTCCCTCACGTCTATCTTCAGCGCCTAGGAAACCACAGCCCAGCTGAAACAGATTCATCTGCATTGTGTCAATATTTATGTCAAGAAAACTTGTAGTGTGAAATATCTTTTTGTCTCCTTCATCCTACATTTGTTTAATTATTTAGAAATTTTTTTCCCCTTGTTTCTCTATGTAGCAATAGTCTGTCCCTTTTTCTAGCCAATTAGTATTCTATAGAATGAATGTGCATTTTTTATGTCTATTCATTAACCTGCTCATGGTAGTCAGGTTGTTTCTAGTTCACTAATAAAAAATAAAAGTTAAGTACGTTCATGTTCAAATCATTATAAAGGCATAATGTTTTTATCCTTTTTTGATAAATATCTAAGAATAATAAAATAATAAATAATAAAATAAAATAATAAAAATATCTAAGAATAATAAAATCTGTATTATATGTTGTTGTGTGGTGTCAAGTCAGAGCTGACTGATAGAGGATTCTCCAGCAGGTTTTCAAAGCTAGTAAATACACAGGAGGCATTGCTCATCCTTCTCCCATGTTGTGACTGGCGAATTTGAACCCAGTGTCTTTGAGATTGCAGTGCCTCTCCTTACCACTAGGCCACTAGAGCTCCTTGTATTATACAGATATGTGTGTTTAACATTTTAAGAAACCACCAAACTATTTTCCAAAGTGATTTTCCACACTTCCCCAATGACAGTATATGAGAGTTATAGTTTCCCCACATCCTTGAAAACAATTAACATATTCAGTCTTCTAGCTTTAGTTATTTTTATAGATACAATTTATAGTTTTGCTTTACCACTCCATAATGTGTCCTCGTGATAAAAAGCTGCACTACATCCTGAAGGCACGTAGTTCAAATCCACCATCAGCACCATGGGAGGAGGATGGGCAAGCTACTCCTGTGTAATTTATTGTCTCTGAAAACCCACTGAAGGATCAGATATTAGTTGGTCTGACTCAAAACACATTAAGAGCAAAGTTGGACAGTGTCAGAGTTGATGAGGATGGCACAGGGCAGGACAGGGTTCAGATATGTCTTTCAGAGGGTTGTTATGAATTGTACTTGACTTGATAGTATCTAACAACAACAGTGTTCAACATATTTTTATATGCTTTTTTGCCATCCATGTATCTTTTTGGTGAAGAGTTTTTTCAAATTTTAAGCTTTCATTTTATTAGGCTGGTTTTTCTATTATTGAGTTTTGAGAGTATATCTTTTCCTGGGTACAAGTCCCTTTTTTACATACTGCAAATATTTTCTCTCAGTATGTGACCTTTCTGAAACAAAGTAAGATAAACTGTAAAAAAGTAAAATATGGGTAAATTATTGTATTCACTGTCTTCCTGTGACATAACCAAATGTCTGTTTCTTACTCAGTAGAAATTATACAGTGACAACTCTGTTTTATTCATGTGACCTTTCTAATTTCTATATAATGTGTGATTGACAAGTTGTTCTCTGTCCCAGCACATCTGGGCCCTTTAGATCATTTAAGCCCTGCTCTGGGGTATCTACTTGCGTTTGGATGTTGACATAAGCTAAACATACTTATACAAGTAAATCAAAAGCATACATACCATGTATCCCAAAGACATGGACTTTCACAGGTATGAACCATCTATACAAAAGCTTTTCTCTTTCTGCCTATAAGATGAGGTCAAATCCTCTGAAGAAAACAATTATAAGCCAACCTCCATCTTCATAAGCTAAGCCTCAGAGTTCTCTCTCTTAGGTCCTCACGTGCGATACATTCCGAAGCCTGAGAGCCAGCCCTGTTCCATCACTGACTCTGTCAAGTTGTTCCCCAAAGAGGAGGCTACAGAGAGAAATATCGTCAGCCCACCACAGAATCCACCCACCAATCTCACTGTGGTCACTGTGGAAGGTTGCTCCTCATTTGTCATCTTAGACTGGGAGAAGCCAATCAATGACACTGTCACGGGTAAGTTAATGACAGGACTGTTACTACAGTAGGGAATTCTGGCTAAGTGGTGTGGAGTTATTCTGCCAACCTAGAGGCATAGCATTCAAATCTACCAGCTGTTCCTTGGGAGAGAAATGAGCTGTCTCTTTCTGTGCTATTTACAGCGTTTGAAAATGTGCTGGAGGCTCAGATAGGAGTTTGTTCTGATTTGATAATGTATAACAACAACAGTACTGCAGTGGCTATTTTGAAAATGTGATACATTGAAAGTGTACTATCTTGGATCAAACTCTCACCTACGTAGTATATCTGAAGAGGTGCAAGTCATAGCAGATGCCTGCTGTTTGTATGACGTGTGATTGCCAAAAGTCCCATATGATGGGAAAACGGAGAGTGCCTTGTTATGGATTCCCTGTTAATTTAGCAGCTCTCATTCCTTCCACCTCCTCTCAGATATTTTTCACAGTGTGAACACATAGGTAGTTTTTTTTCTCCCCTCCTCCATAATCTCAGAAATTATGAGGAAGATCTAATGAACCTGGTGGATAAGGAGTTGTGTTGCAAACCCAAAGGTAGATAGTTCAAATCTACCAACTGCTCCATGGGAGAAAGATGGGCATTCTCCTTCTGTGCAATCTACAATTGTGAGTTGATTTTGAGAGTTAAGAAACTATGTCACTATTTTTGCCACAATAATGATATTTAAGGGAGTTCTGGTAGCATAATCCATAGAGAGTTTCCCTGATAACCCAAAGGTGACACCTTTGGTGGTTCAAAGCCACCCACAACTCCATGGGAGAAAGATAGGCAATATTCTCCCATATAATTTACAACCTCCAAAAACCAACTGAAGGGTCACTATGAGTTAGTTCTGACTCAAAGCAATCGATTTGAGCTTGTTTTATTTTGGTGTTTTGTTTGTTTCGTTGTTTTGGTGGGTTTTTTTAAATGTTTAAATCCATTTTCCTGAGACAGAATGAGAGTGGTTACACAACTGGGAATATGTGACTAATGTCACTGAGTGGTACATGTAGAAGTCATTAAGCCTGCTGTAAACACTGGGAATCCTGGAAAGCTCTAATGAACAAATAGAAAGTCAGCCCCACACCCAGTAGATTGTGACTAGAGTCATCTCAGGCAAACTCAATCCCTTCTTTGGCCACAAAGCTAAACCCTAGGGACCTATCTATAAAATATTTAACTATAAAATGTGATTGGCCTGCCTTCCAGATGAACCAAGACATTGCAAATTAGCTTAGTCTTCCGAGTTCTGGATATTAGTTAAATGTTAGGGACATTTGATCAAGAATAATCATCTGAGTTTTAGGAGAGTTCTTTTATGCACTTTTAATCAATGTACAATATCAGGAAAAGAATTTTTAGCCTACTTTCAGAGCACAGCCCAATAATAAAAAAGATACCACATGTTGGACCAATATCACTGAACACTTTTTATTTGTTCCTAATTTGATCCTCCCAAGTAACGCTTTGTGTGACAAACCCAAGTAACCCTTTGTATGACACAGATATTATTGTCAACATATTATAGATGAGGAGACCAAGCCTGATTTCAAGGTAAGTTGATTGATTTATCTTTATCCATTGTTGTTGTTATGTGCCTTTGATTTGCCTGTGATTCATAGTGACCCTATGCACAACAGCCCTAAACCCTGCTCTATCCTGTGCCAGCCTCATTGTCTCTGACACACCCACCCCCTTCATTTTAATTGCTTTCATTCTTTTTGTAGCAAATATCACTTCACAGCTAAAGAGAGGAAAGAAGTAAATGGATGGATAGATTTAGGAACCTTATTCCCCTCCTTTGAAATTATCTTTTAGAATGAAGAATCAAGTGAGAGATATGTTGGAATGAAAATGGGACTGAACTACAAATAGAGAGTCATAATATCTGGTACTGAATGTCAGTCTTTAGTCCTTTAATAACTGCTCTGATGGTACCAGATAGAGTGGTCATTGCCTTCTAGCTTAATGTTGAGTTCATAGAAGGATGGTAATGTAAAACTATTTAGAAGAAGTTATCTTCTCTTTGTTGTTGTTGTTGTTGTTGTTGTTGTTATGTGCCGTCGAGTCGTTTC